CACTTCTCCTCAAGAAACCGAACAAGTCATTCAAGCTCTGAACCATATGGACTTGAGCGGGCGCAAGTTGCGAGTGGAGTATAAGAAAATGCTGCCTCTCGCTGAACGAGAGCGCATAGAAAGAGAAAAGCGCGAGCGGCGTGGCCAGTTGGAGGAACAACACCGCCCCATGGCACAATCACAGCTTCATAACCAGGTCTCGCTGTCGTCAATTTCTCGAAACACCCCATCTCCCCTGTCCCATCGCAGCACAATGCCTGGTAAGTGGACTCTTTCTCCCCAGTATCCTCAAAATAGGCTAACCAAAATTTAAGACGTCGACATGAATGACCCCAAGACTCTCGAGTTCTATACCGAGATGACGCTGTTTAGACGAGACCCGACTCGTGAAGTCCTCATATTCCCCCCAACACTAGAACCACACCATCGTCGCATTGTTCACACCTTAGCCCACCACATGGGCTTAATGCACACATCCCGCGGCACTGGAGATCAGCGACAAGTTCACATCCACCGACCGGCGCCTGGCACGAATGTGAGCCCACCGACCCTCGCAGGCGGATTTCCAACCAATGATGGTATGCGCCAGACTCTTGCCAGATCTTCTACGGCGGACTTCAATGACGGCAGACAATATGACGGTCCTTCTTTCAACACTCTTCGCGGTCAGTCCTCGGTTGGACTGCTGGATGTCATGGATTCCAGCGCCTACGGCAGAAACGCCGATAGCAACCTCCGCAACGCCAAATCTTTTGCTGATCTGCGATCATGGAGCCCGTCGCCCGTGCCGTCTTCTGCAAGCTTCCCTGCAGCATTGCAGACCAACGGAGCACGTCTGCAAGCGTTGAACGATACAGCTGGGTCCAACACGCCCACCTTGACTCCGACAGCCTCTAACTCAGGTGTCAGCCGTGATGAGCCTTTCCTCATCTCTAGCTTTTCCAACCTTTCCATGACTAATAATGGTGGCAGCCAGACCAGCCCTCGCCGTCAACGCAGCTTTTTCGGGAACGGATCCGAATGGACGGACGGCCAAAACTACCAACCTACCGGTCCCATCGGCAGCAAGCGAACCGTTAGCATAGGGCCGGAGACGACCTCCCAGAACACCAACCCCCTGCGTCAGTCGCGCGGGCCGAGTTCAACCAGCGCCATCGGCTTCCGCCGACAGAACGGACGTGGCAGTGATGAATTGCGTACGGCCGCATCAGCAATTGCCGAATGAAGAGACATAGCATATACCCCCCCTACTTTGATGACGCTCTCTGCTGAGCAATGACGAGTCAATGATCCACGAACGACATGACCACCTCCTACCAGGAAACAGCAAAAAGTTAGACGCATAGGGCAGCCTACATGACTGCATGATTGGACTACAGAAAAAGATTGTTGTAACGAAATGACACAGGACTCTACGGGTGCGGCATAAAGCATTTTGTTACGAGGTCCCCGAGAAAGAATGATTGACCCTGGGTTGTACACTTTGTTGACTTGAATTTCCGCGAGAGAGCAGTGCATTACGGGCGTTGAGCGCCAGAGCGCTCGACAAGGAGCTCATACCGGGTGTGTCGACTATGAAGCGGTCGATGTGGTATGGGACGACGCGGAGCGAGCCTCGTCATGATTTGCGTTTTTTGATTGTGCGGGAGATGGATTTACGTATGGGATACACTCGTTTAATCAGTCGAGAGACCACCCCGAAGGAGTGGAAGTAATACCAAATGATTGTTTGATTAGAATTCCAAGCCTTGCCAGTCCGTGTCTCCCAGAGCTGGTTGCTCAAGCACAGAGAAACCCAATCGGAACAACAAGAGTGAATGATTATCTAATGAATGCCAAGCCAAAGGTCTCCCCGTACGCCCCTCAACCACTTCATCGTTCTTCTCTACACACCTCGCAGCTGGTCGAGAGACTTGCTACTGTCAAGGATGCGGGCAGAAGCTTGATGTTGCCAATGGCGGCCGTAGAGGATCACCTCTGCGCTGTCGCCTGCATCCAAAAAATCCCCTCAAAGCATGGAGCTAAAAGGGGGAAATAAATCACTCACCGCAGCCATCCACAACAAGCTGTCTGCTTGGCTCTTTTCTACTGTGTTTGGGCAATATGTCCCCTCCAAAGGGCCTTTTGCCATCTGCTGGTATGTAAGTGATCGATTGACTCTTGCTACAGCACCCTCCTTGACCACCAATGGAGCCACTGCTCTCCTCCCGGTCCCATCCTGGGCAGGCTGCCTTCGACACACAGTGCTGCGACAAGTGGCGGGAGTTTCCTAATTATGCCAAGCCCCGCGTGCTCCACCAAAAACGGCTTAGGGCCAATCATGTTTGGTGTCTTGCATCTTCGACCTTATTTTCCCTCGCCTTGCCTGCCACCCACTTATCCTCCACCACTTGACCCTCTTCCATATCCTCCATCCTCGATATCAACAATCCGACGCGTCTACCACGACTGCTATCGATCGCCGTCCTCAATACACTTGTCGCATCACCACAAATAACTCAGACGTATCCTCATTCACATCGCTTACAATGGCAGGAGGCAAGGGCAAGAGCATTGGCGGCAAGGCGACAGGTGCGAAGGATTCCACGACAAAGACTCAGAAGTCACACAGCGCAAAGGCTGGTCTTCAGGTGAGCTCACATTTTTCGCGACAAGTTGGGAGGAGAATGGGAGTCGCGCATTACTACACTCCCTTGCGACAAAGGCTTGAGATCGATGGGTATGGATGATAGCTACGCGATGCAAAAGCTGTCATCTCGCCCGGCAGTGGTCGGAACCCATCCTCTACCTTCATCTCAGGCTTGAGCGCATTCCCTCTATGTATCAAATTTGTTGATAAGACCAAAACTGACGCGTTTTGCTCCTAGTTCCCATGTGGTCGCGTCAAGCGTTTCCTCAAGAACAACACACAGAACAAGATGAGAGTTGGGGCTAAAGGTATGATCCCAGTTGTTTACCCCCACCAAAACAATTCATTGCAGACGCTAATCATCCTCTCATCCAGCCGCCGTCTATGTCACCGCCGTCCTCGAGTATTTGACTGCCGAAGTCCTCGAGCTCGCAGGAAACGCGGCCAAGGATCTCAAAGTCAAGCGCATTACCCCCCGCCACCTACAGCTCGCCATCCGAGGTGACGAAGAGCTGGACACACTGATCAGAGCAACCATCGCATTCGGTGGCGTCCTCCCTCACATCAACAGAGCGCTTCTCCTGAAGGTCGAGCAAAAGAAGAAGAGCAAGGCCGATGCGTAGAAGAATGGGTGGGAATAGGCATCAACAGACCGAATATCTCCTCGCAACCCCTGCTCACGGCGTTTAGGGCCATCGTGTAATGAACCGAATTGTGGCGGTGTCATGCGGAAGGGCGATAAGAATGAGTGTATGAGAGAAACAGCAAGGGACAGCACGGTTGACAGGAGGTTGTTATTGAATCATTTTACGCGTGTTTGTTTTACAATACTGGTTCCTGAGGTTCGCGCGATGTCGAGCTTCTTTCTGGCTTTTGCCTTGGGTTGGATGACCTACTCAACAGAAGGAGAATTCTTTTCTTCCCTCCGACTTGTCTATTCCCTGATTGCCTGCCAAACTTTCTGATTCATCATAGGCGTCTTGTTTTCCTGTTCGACTGCCGATCTACTTTCCAGACTGGGAGTAGGTCCTTTCTTCAGCGTAACTGTCTCACACATGGGCCAATTCCCTGGTGGACTTGCGCATAAGTTCGTACTACGTATTGTATCACCTCTGGAACTCCATCAAAGGCTGCTATCGTGCGGAGACGCCGCAGGTGTCGACCAGTCTTGCCTTGCCCTGCTACTTTTGCTTGCTCGCTCTCCATCGCTGTCTGGACCCAATACAGTCCTTGGGCAACTAGCATCTACAGCATATTTCGTCCCCACTAAGTTCCTGAAGAATGTGGTCTCTGTCGACTCGGGGCTCAACGGCTCTACGCTGCTCCACTGCATCATACGTGACACAAATGTTGTTTGCTTCGCGACAGACCTGACGGATTGTCCCTATCTTACAAGACGCCTCACGGGAATCTCCCCACAGCCTCAGCTTCGTCGTCTTTCAGTACGCAGCTATCCGTCGTTCATCCGGAGACTTACTGTGTTCCTGCGCAGATAGTTAGTGATGTGAGCGTCTCGCTGGTGTTCCACGGCCACGGATTCGGTCAATGCTTTTGTCCCAGTTTGTACGACAACATCCTCGCATGACTTCACAGGTAGGAACCGGACCAATTCGCTGACTTGGGTTTGACTGCGCCTTTCCAAACGAGTACGAAAGGCGGTGGCATTTTGGTTGTTCCACACAACAGAATGAGGCACGATGCCAGAGTCTTGTCATACTGCTCTTGGGAGCTGACGACAATCACACCATATCCTCAGCCTTGTTTGTGAAGTTTCAACGTGAAAGTCTGGCAGTGCAGCCCGACCTGGTAGGTAGGTGTAAGGTTCCGACTGAGACTCGGTTGTTCTGAATGGTCCGTCTCTCATGCCTGACTGAAGAAGCTGGCTGCGACTCTGCGAATGGGTGTATGCGAACTGATCTCACGTCCGAACTTCTGCCTCATCGGCGTGCTTGTGGAACCTGACAAGCTACACAAGGCGACCCATGTGCCAGAAATGAACTAAGTCTATACATGACGCCATTCCCGTTGAGGCTGATCAGAAACTATGATGCGCCTGTCACTCCCTGGCGAGGCAAGGCACGAAGTGCACCAACGAAATTGATCCTACCTTCAATGGATAGCTTAGCCGGCGCTCTCCATATTCAGGACAGTGTGTCCCCGTAGTCCAGCCGTGGAGACGTGGGAAAGCAGATATCAACCTTGCCTTCCCCAGCGATGAGGGGATCGCCAGAGCTGAACAAGAGAAGCTCATCTGCTGCATCTCCTCACCGAAGTTTCAGCGCCTGGATATTCGACTTTCACAAATTCAGACAGGCACCTTGCCCCATCCGATCGTCAACAATTTCAAGGAGGGACTGCTTTGCTTGCGAGGATGCCATCGGGAAGATCGCCCATCCCGTGGATTGACCCGGACAGTAATCTGTACTGGTACGATCCGGACGGCGGCTACGGAAGAGGCTACGATGATGATCAAGGTAATGACAGCTAAAAGAAAAACCCCCCAATTCCAAAGGGATACTCGGTAAGATTCTTCTCAGGCTCGACCAGCACCATCAGCAATCGTGGCCCGCCGCGGCGCAGGCGGAGAGGAGAGTAAGTCATCATAACGCACACAACACTAACACCCTACCTCTACCTCTACCGATACCATCCTGGCACATACGAGTCCATCGAGCTAGTCTGTTGTCGAAATGGGAGAGGGAAAAAGGAGAGAAAAGAGAGCGCAACACGCTGTTTCCATTCTGATATTTTGTTACTGACACATGTCTTTTGCAAAACGGACGAAAAGGGATCCCGAACTACGCGCCCTCTCAGCCGTCTTCTCCGGCGTGCGTCCCCCACGAGGTCGAGATCGAGACCGAGACAGCGATAACTACCGCCGCGGCCACATGCACGATTCGGGTCGCCGCACGTGCATGAACATTGAAGGCCCCTTTTACGACCAAGACTACGACCGCTGGTATTACTACGACATCGCACGGCCCGGAGGGCCCAGGAGGCTGGATTATTGTCGCCACGGCGAGGTCGAGGTCGTGTGTCTATACTGCAATGGCAGCTATGGATGTGGAAGGGGGAGAGGACGCTCTCTGTCTAGGAGCAGGGATCGTAGTCGTCGCCGAAGCGGCAGCCGCAATGATATTCGTCGCCACGGCCACCGTCACCGCCACGGCAGGCGACCTCGTGACGGCGACAGGGTCATAGCATGCTACGCGGCCAACTTTGGCTATGACTTTTACAACGGCAGACCGCCCCCACGATACGGCGGTGTCGTCGATAGATCCCCAGGATCACGGAGGGCCGAGGCCAGACGTGTTCGACATGGTCGACATGGTAGGCATGATTCTTTCGAGCGTGGATACGACGACGACGGCCTTGTGGGCAGCGGCGGGGGCGGCTACTATGATTTTCCATTTGATTTTGATTTTGACTTTGACAATGATTACGACTACGACTACGACTACGACTATCACGACGGGGATCGAAGGTGCAGACGATCAAGAAGACGAGACAGAAACGATAGTGCGGCAGATCATCTCTTGCGCGAAATGGACAGGGTAGAACGCAGGGCCGACGAGGCTGAACGCCGGTTGTGGAGGGAGTACGGGACCTGAATGGTAGTTGAATTGGACTCAAAAAGTGGAGAAAGGGATATGGATTGACTCATTAAATTGGGTATCTGAGTTGTGGAATATCTTGCCTCGAGTATGGACCATAGTTGCGGGCTCAAATCTCTGCCTCGCCATGCCCACAAGGCTGACTCGAACGCTCGCTCGATGATGCAATGGGTGGCATGTTTCATGTAGCATGTACAGTATGCAAAATGTCCAGGATGCAACGATCACGACGACAATGATCTGCCGGGACTCCTCCTTTGTAGAGAATGTTCAAGGCAAGAGAACACCCCAATCACATCGTCTTCCTCGCCTTCTTGTTCTTTTGCTTTTTGTTTCCCGCCTCCTGGCCTTGCGGTCCCCCTTTCCGTTTGTTTCCTGCCTTGTCTGTCTTGCGGGAAATGCCCGCAGACCCAGCAAGAGATGCGCTGGCAGACTCCCCACGCGGCGTGCCGCAACGCATGCAGTAGACATTGTCCGCGTAGTTGTAGAACGAGCATCCATCCGCACGGCATTTCCAGTCCCCAGCTTCGTGACGAAGAGAGGGGAACTTGCCAGAGCTGGAGACATTCCTCGCTAAGTGTCCTCCGCCTGCCATACTCCGGTGCTTCTGCTCAATGGCCATTCGGACTCGATTCATCTCTTCGTCCGAGTCGATTTCTGCGGTGGGCTTTGTGGCACCTCTGCTTTGTCCCGGTCTTGATCTGCTGGACGAATTGGGGATGTCTGGCTCTGAGTCCGAGTCTGAGTCCGAGGTCGAGGCCGAGCTCAGGTCCTGATCATCTTCGTCCTGGCCTTGATCATGGCGGGTGCTGGCCCTGGATTTTCGCTTCCTGTCAAATGAGCCAAAAGTCTGTCGGCCTGTTGGATATTCGTTATTCCAAATATCGTCTTCTTCCTCTTCGCCTTCCTCACTTCCCTCTTCCTCACTCCGTCCGTTGAGTACACCAAAGCACGAGCTAGACGGGACAGACCCTTGATCATTGGCATTTGCAATCTTATCAGATGGCAGCTTCATTCGGTTGTCTCCAGGGAATGCGACCTCCACATCCAGCACCCACTCTGTATCTGCACCTTCGAACCGGGTGAACCTGCTTGTTCCTCCTCTTGGAGCAACGCCCAAACCTGTGTTTTGCGACGCAGTTGGGGTCGACAGTCCAGGATAAGGAAGGCCATTTGACGGTGTTCCAGGAGTAGAGGCTGACGGGGAGGATGTAGTACTTTCAACTCTTCGGCGTTTTGCAAGTGGTTCTGTCGTAGGCGTCTGCGCAGCAGAAGCCGTCGGGGTAGATGTTGCGCTGGGTGTTGTCGCAGCGGCTCTTTGCATAAACTAGAGGGAATCAGGCAAATCAAAGACTTGGTTACCGGGTTCAGGTTTGCGCAGCGGCCCTCACACAGAGACAGTTGGCTCAAGGGGGCTCGTTGTCGACTCACCTTCATGTTCAGCAGTCGCGAAGACATTTGTTTCGGCTGCTGTTGCGACGGCGTCCGGGCATTTTGAGTGGGCGTGCTGAAGCCTGCCATATCTGTTTTTGAGCCTGTAAGAGAGAGGGTTCTCTAGCAAGGTATTAAATAGGGATGGGTAGAATCCAAATCCCGACGGAGGTCAAGAAGATCGCATGCAGCATTTGACACAGTAGACGTGGCAACTTCAAGCCAATACTACTGTGAGATGGACAGTTGTTGCGATATAGGTCCGTCTCAGTTTGCGCAATGTAGTCTCTACTGAATCGTGCAACAGGGTGGTCGATGTTCAACACTGATTCAATATCGCAGACAAAAGTTTATGTTTCACGCATTCCGCGCCTTGTATCGGATCGGCGGAATGTCTGGCCGATACACTAGCTCACCAACTCACTTGCAAGGCTGATCTCACAGTGAGCATCGGGAATGGATCAAGTTTTTGCATGTTCCTCTACAAGATGCGATATTGTGTGGGCTTGCCTCTTTCAGAAAGTGTGTGTTCTACATGTGAGACGCCCTTCTTGCATCTAACCTTGGTAGCGTACTCGTTGCCGTGAAAGAAAAGGTGCGATACACCGGTGACCTGCCCATCTCGTCCGATGATCTCAAACACAGCTTCGGTTTTCAGGTGTGCGTCGACACGTACTTGGAAACCGCTGTTCTCATTCGTGTGAGTAGGCTTTTTTCCTAAGCATGCCTTGATCCTTCCTTCACAGTTGGCGCTACGTTGTAGGGGACGATGGGTTGAACGAAGGTTGGTTCGCCATAAACAGCGCAGACGGCCCTGAAACAGACATTCGGTAGTGCTACTGACGCATAGCATCTGCGCAACTCGGAGGTCTCGAGTGTATCACCGTAATCCAGTTCACCCTGCTGAAGAACAACGGGAGTCGAGAAACGGCCCACGGCGGTCTTCCTATTGGTGAACCATGGTGGATTGGACTTTGGGGCTGCTTGGAGCGGTAACTTGTTCATTTTTTCTGGCCTTGAATGGTTGCCACCACTTTTCTCGAATGCTTCGACGCTCGAAACTCCAGATACCAGATACCCTGCCACGTACCAGTATTCAAGGCACCATCCGTGATAGGGATCGTCACACTAGCACCGATGAGGGCTGACTTGATATGTGCCTAATCGACCATTGAGTATAGCCGTAACTTTTGGTAACACGAATATTCACTTACAGGCATGTCGTCCAAACCTTCCGCCGAGTGTCTGTATAGATTGCCCTTCCTATCTTCTGGGGCAATCCTATCAAGTGCGTCGCTCATATCTTCTCTTACATCGCTGTCCCAATTCTCGTTCAAAGAAAGCGCACATGAAGTGTGTTGGACGAATAGGTTCAAAAGTCCGACTTTGTATTCCTTGATCTCTGGTAGAGACGAAACCACCTGGTCTGTGATGAGATAGGAGCCGCGAGACTTGGCGGGAAGCGTAAAGGTTTTCTGGAACCACGCTGTAGACATATTGGGACCACTGCTTTGCACAAGGCAGCCTGGAGGACAATTCAAAGCGACGGAGAGCGGGGCTTTCGTTTCGAAGGAGTGGGTGAGCAGGCGAAAGGGAAGACCAAGGAGGTATTGCAGAAACCCAGGGAATAAAGCAAGCGCCAATATCAGCACCGAGACAAAAGTGAAGTATTTGGATTGAGTAACGTCCAAAGCCGGCATATCATAATGGAGTGGGAGAGATAGGTCACATCTCGAACTGCGGCATCGAGAGGTTAAACACGGATAACGTCATAGGCTGTCGGGAAACCTTCCCAGACCAATACCTCGTACACTATCATTCTCGATGGCCGATCGAACAGTCATGTACGACGTACAAGGTACCTCACCATGGCCCTTCTAGAAATTGCCTGTTTCAATCCCGACTCTGCAGTGATAGCAGACGAAGCCGGAGCCGATCGCATCGAGCTCTGTGATAATGCAGACGTTGGAGGGACCACGCCGCCCTCAAGTTGGCTGGTCACTCTGCGCGACAAGGTCAGGATACCCATCTATGTCATGGTTCGTCCTCGGGGCGGTGATTTTGTCTATTCGCCGGAAGAGTTTCAAGAAATGAAAGACGCCCTGGGCAATCTGAAAACATTCGCAGATGGCTTTGTCTTTGGCATTCTCAACCATGATCGGACTGTCGACGTTGCAAGGACCTCGGAACTGGTCAAACTGGCAGCTCCTTTGCCGTGCACATTCCACCGCGCGTTTGACGAAACCACAGACTTGTTTCAGGCGCTCGAAGATGTTGTTGGCTGCAACATCCGTACCATTCTGACCTCTGGTGGGATTTCGAGTGCCATTGAAAACTGTGATGTGTTGGCCCAGCTAGTGAAACAAGCAGATGGCCGAGTTATCGTCGTGCCAGGTGGAGGCGTCAGGTCAACAAACATTGAGCAGCTGAAATTGGTGACGGATGTCCTGGTCTTTCACTCTTCAGCCCTCATTGAGGCACAAGATATTGCAAATGTGGCTGAGATTCGGCAGATGAAGAAGATCCTGCAATGAGAACCGGGAGTCCTGAGCTGAAGCTGTCGAGTGCAGAAACGACATTTATCGACAGATGGCATTAAAAATTGATCGAATGATTTCAGTCCTTGTGCTCTTGTCACCAGGCAGCCTATGATGGAATGGACGTTTATTCATCTTGCCCCTGTCAAGAGAAGCCTCGCTTATGCGCATGTCAACCGACGAGTCCTCGGCGTCTTTTCATAGGAGCCAGCGCATTGTGTTTCGCGATTGGTCAGTCGTGCCTACAAGCTACTTCATCAAAATCCCGAACTTCTGACCTCCATTACCTCTACGCATGTACACCGAATCGACTATTCGACTCGCAGAGATCTCACTCCTCACCTCTCATCATGGCCAACTCATCCAGTCCGGCACCCAAGCCAGATCTTTCACATTCCAAATATCCAAGCTCGATAGGCCGGAAGTTCGATCCTGACGGAAAGGTTCTGCCGTTTCCTGGAAACACGATCATCTGTCACCTTTCACCAGACCAACCTCTGTACCCTGCAATGCTAGGTCTGTATGACTCACTCAGGAGCCACAGATTTGCGTCTCTATATACCATGTTACCTCCGGAAAGCTGGCACATGACTGTCTTCGAGGGCGTCAGTGATGAGACTCGAGCCTGGCCGTCGGATTTGCCCCTCAATGCCCCATTGGACATATGCACAGCTCTGTTCAAGAAGAAGCTCGAGAACTTTGAGTTCGACACCTCGACCCCATTCCAACTGACCATTGTTGGTTACAATCCGCTGGTAGAAGGCATCGCCCTGACAGCCGTCCCCGCGACTCCCGCCGACGAAGTAAGGATTCGCGACCTTCGCAAACGGCTCTCCGAGCTCCTGCAAATACGCAATCCTGACCACGACGAGTATGCCTTGCACCTAAGTCTTGCATATCTTCTACGTTGTCTGGATAACCAGCAACAGAAGGAGCTTGGCGACTTCCTAGAAGAATATCGTGCTAAGTTGCCCACTCATTTCGAATTGGGGGTTCCGGAACTCTGCACCTTCGAAGACATGTTTGCTTTTCATCGACTATTTTTCTTGGGAGACGACTCCTAATATGAGTTGGCACAGAGATTTTCTGCTTCGATTGTCAAAATCTCGTTGATTCAAGAGAGGAGTGCTGTTTTATGGTCTTGCTAGAGGAAATCGGCCACGACGATGAATGTCTAGGAGGCATTGAGATCAGTTGTGATTCTCACGATCAATATCACTTGTATATTCGCTATCAGCCAATCAATTGGTCTACGCACCACGAGCCCTCGTACCTTCATGTCTTCGACCTTTGCTCAAACTCCAAATTTCCGAACACAACTCAAAGCCAGCGGGTGAGCCAGTCCAGAATTTGTTTCTCTGAGTTCTCCAAGCATGCCCGCTCCTCTGGGTCGTCCGGATTTCCTCTCACAGCAAATCCATGTCGGCCCGGCTTATAGACCCTGTGCTCCACCTCTGGCAGCTTTCTCCCCGCGGCTCTCGCTTTCGCATGGATCTCTTCCACCTTTGCCTTTTGCTCAAAATTCACACCCTGGTCCTCCACTCCCCATCCAATGCTGACAGGTACGACCAAAGACTCGACATCACCTGGAAGGGATACATGACTAGGATGCATGGCGGCCACGACATCTACTAACGGCACCTTTTTGCCGTCAACCTCAATCATGTTGCTCTCCAATCCCGCTCGAATTGCATACTTTCCACCCCAGCAGAATCCCACCATGCCGATTTTCTGGGTGGGGGGAGTTGAGCGCCTCAATGCCTGCATGAAATCCATGAAGGTCTGGTTGGTAGGTCCTTCCTTGTGTCTCGTCATCCACATGATGAAGGCCGGCGCCTTTGCCAGAAGACCCGTATACTTTGCAAATGTCGACTGCTTTTTCGCATCGACTGGAAGCAGAACATCAGCAGTCTTGAGCGGCACTGGGTCTCCCTTGAAAAAGTCCGGTAGATAGACGAGCCACTGGCCGCTCTTAGCGTAGGCGTCGGCAATTAGTTTGTTGTTGGGCAATAGGAGGCCAAAGACATCCGAGTAGATGACTATGATGGCTTGTGGATTGGTCCTATTGCCGACCACGTAGGTATTCAGCCCGTGTATCTCCTCTTCAGTGCCCTGAGGTTGACCTGTGTGGATGGTGCCCTGAGCAAAGGGTGAGTGGAAAGATATTCATCGAGGATGGATCCAGGTGAACTTACCTTGATGCACTCTTCGCACGCGGAATCCACTTGAGAATCCATTTGTACTTTTATTACCAGTTGCTGACAATCAAACAAGGCTCTGTTTCAAGGTATACTCGCTTGATGACTGATGAGTCGTATATTCCCGGGAGGCACCCCATGGTTGATATATCAGTCCTTTTCCAGGCACAACCAGGTCCCGATGACGCTACAACGTGGAACTCGGCGTGCTGGTTGATCCGCTGCAAGTCTCGGTGAGTTCTCGCGTTCTTCTCGGGTTGTGTTTCATTCGTTGATTGACTGTGATACGCAGCGAGTAACTGTATGAGGTTTAGTTCAGGCGGGAAGACACCAGATGAATGCGACTCTATGCCTTTTTGCCGTTCTCGCTCTACACCACGACCACCACGACCGCCGACGGTCGGTCAGATTTATATGAGCATCCAATTCCCCGTGACTGCAGCCATGTTGCAGGGACCATCAGCGGTAGGGTCCTCTTCAGCCTCGGGGTCGATCGCCGAAAAGACTGCGAGGCTTCCTCTTCCCGCTATCGGCAGGACTCCGCCGACAACATCCACACCAACACCCAAGTTACGCAGTTGTCTAGTTTGCCGCAATCGCAAGGTCCGCTGTGACAAACAGTCACCTTGTTCTAATTGCCGTCGCGCCAATATCGCCTGTGTGACACCGGCGACAGACCGCCCGCCAAGGTGGGCTCGTCGCCTCCATCAACTCACCAACAAGGCCCCAGTGCTGAACGCTCCTACGACGCAGGACGCCAATCCAGATCTTGACAAGGTCATGGAGAGGGTGCGGAATCTGGAGCTGCTGGTCAAGGAACTCAGCTTTCAATTGGAGCAGACTCATGCAAGCTCGACTGCTGGGGACTTATCTCAAGTCACCTCCCCCGATATCTCAACCCAGAATCGTGGCTTAGGGCATGAAGGGATCCAATTACCCACTACTGATGCCAACAAGAATCAAAAACAGTCTGGCCGCTTGGTGCTCCAGGATGCCAGTCGTGGCCACTATGTGAGCTCCGCCTTCTGGGTCCGGGTCGATGACGAGGTAAACTTTGCCATGATGCTCGCCTCACCACCTGACCTAAAGGCTCACTGATTGTTACTGCAGCTCGATGACCTAGAGATAGACACTCGCGGCTCAGAAGCATATGACTCGGACAGTTCATGGGATGATGCATCTCCCGAAGGAGCGCTATCCGCCCAGGAAACGGAGCGAACGCCTTCGGAACGACATGCATTCTTATTTCGACACAATCTGGCTCCCCCGACTCCTAATCTCCACGAGCTGCGCCCCTTGCCATCCCAGATGCTGTTTATCTTGGACACTTTCTCCCGGAATGTGAATGTCTTCATGCAGATCGTCCACATCCCAATCCTCACCAAGACGATCTCTGGTCCAGGGGGTATACGCCTGACTCACCTGACACCATCCCTTGATGCCTTGATATTCTCCATCTCTTATGCGACGGTTGCTTCCATGGAGGAAGACGATGTAAGCCATTTCTTCCCCGGGATATTGGAGATTGGTCAGGCATGATTAGGCCGTATTGACAAGTATTTCCCGAACAGGTTATGGCAAACTTTGGCGCTCCCAAATTCGAGTTGATTTCCAAGTACCGTCTCGGGACGGAGCACTGTTTAGCCCAAGCCGAGTTCCTGACCGTACCGAACCTGATGCTGATTCAGGCGTTTGGCCTCTTCCTATGCCTCGCGCGACGACATGACAGCCCGAGATATGTGTGGATGATGACGGGGCTCGTCATCAGAATGGCCCAGTACCTTGGCTTACAGCGAGACGGACTCCACTTCAGTCACCTGTCGCCTTTTGAGATTGAGATGCGTCGACGGATCTGGTGGATGCTGTGCCGGCTAGATTTGAGAGCATCAGAGGACCAAGGGACGGATCTCAGCATACCGAGCGGCAGTTTCGACACCAAAATCCCTCTGAACATCAATAATGCAGATATCCAACCCGAGACAAAAGAGATGCCCGCCGAGCGCTATGGCGTGACCGATATGTCATTTCCACGCATGTCTGCGGGAGCCGTCCACCTCATGAGGCAAATAGTGGCCTCTATTGCTGGGGGAGGTGTGGCAAATGCAGAGCGCCAGAGTCGTCTCGTGAGCGAGATCTATCAAAATTTCGAACAGGAGTACTTCCAGCACACATCTGAAATAGGGAATATTGCCTACTGGGTCGCCGTCACCGTCGCGCGCATGGTCATGGCCAAGATGACCCTCATTGCCTTTCTCCCAGCGCTCTTTTCCACCTCCAGCGAGACCACCACTGCTGACGAAGTCTTGAGAACCAAGTTACTGGTCTCGGCAATTGAGGTTGCAGAATACAATCATGCGCTCAACGCCGAACCAGCATGTCGCAACTGGCGCTGGCTGTACCAAAGCCACACCCATTGGCATGCCATTGTCTACCTTCTACTTGAGACCTCCCGACGGCCTTGGTCGTCCACCGTCGAGAGGGCTTGGATCGCGCTTCACAGCGAATGGCTGATTCCGGCTCAGGCCCTGACAGACGAGAACCTCCGCATTTGGATTCCGCTCCGAAAGCTGATGAATAAAGCCCGCAAGCATCGCGACTCTGAGCTCCACAGACTGCGAGCCGATCCGCAGGCCGCTGTATTGCTGGAACTGGAAGACCGCAAGACTCCGGTCCCTACAAGTTCTGGACCATTCCCTGCGGGATCCAGTGTCGACGCCTTCCGTGAGCGATGGCGCCAACTTGTCGATTTTCCAGCGGAGGCTCCTGAGCGCAGACCCTTCCCCAGACACTCTAACACCAGCCACGTCGGATCAGGAGCAATTAAAACTTACAAAAACCCCTTGCCTGCCGGATTGATGCCTTCGGGTACCTCGGAGGTTTCCGATTTCAACACCTCTAATGAAACGACCTATCTCGGATCTGGAGCACAGGCTGATAGGAACTTCAACACCGTCGATGACAGAGGACCTGAATCGTCAACCACAACGAACGTACCCGGGGCATCTACCTCGGACCAGACTCCGGGTCGACCGTACAACGCCTTTCCGACAGGGGCGGAAGACTGGACGGACGGCCGCACCATGGGCCCTGGCTTCCACGCCTGGCTCTGGGCGGACGCTGACCCGTCTGTCGACGTCTTCTCCAACTGGGACGTGGACTCCCTCGACGCGAACATGGACCTGGGTGGTGAAGTGAACTGGTATGCCTGGGTCGAATCGGCCAAGGGGATGGAGAGGGAAGCCAGGCCCGCCGCCGCCAACACTCAATGGACAGAAATCCCTCGAGATCCCTAGCTGCGCTGCGCTACATGAATGATGGCCCTAGACACAGCTTTCTCCAGGTGTGCGAAGTTGCTTGTGCTACACTATCAAAACCAAGACCAAGACTAAGACTTCCCGGGTGGTCCTGTGCTATTGCTTTCCTCGCTGATTGCCTGCCCACCGGCGCGCGTCACCTCAGAGCCAAGCTGATGTTGGTTCTTGTTGTTGTTGTTATTGTTTGTTGGCCAAGCAGCCAAGACATCTCTTGTCGAACACAACAAAGTGGGCGAGCTTCATCTTGGCACTCACTACCTGCAGTTAGTATACGAGGGGCGCGCACCAAAAGCACTGTTTACGCTACTTCAAATGACCAATGTTACTTACTATGAAAGGGAGGTTTTCTGAGCTTGTAGGCACCCTTGCCTATCTCTTAGCTATAAGTCAGATCTAATAGGCGGCCGCCTAACCGATATTTCCAGTCTCGCTGGGCGCTATAGGCATTAAGTATTGTGCTCCGATGTCTCCGGGAGGCCGTTGTCTTCTCTTACTAGCATTAACAATACTTATGGTGCGCGCCTCGGTACAGAGAACAGCAGCGCGAGTTGTGGTCTGGACTGGACCACCGTGGAGAAGCAGATCAAGAACCCACGAGTGGGTGGACTCCGGGTCGATCAGAAGCTACTCTTCCAGCTTCGTACCTACGCTGTCAAACTGTACAGCTCTCAGATCCTACGGGGGAAGAGATCCGAAGTGGAGTTCCGAAGTTATCCAGCGAAGCTTTAGCAGAGCTGGTATTACCGGCAAAACTGAACGAACAGCCACGCTTCTTATTGGTTGACTTTATCGGCGCTTATCGATTGGCTAACGAGAATACAGATAACGTGACTTTCATGGATCTTAGTTATTCCGATCCTAATTCTAACGATTTCACTTTCCATTCCGCCTCGTCGCCGCCGCCACTCTTTAACTAACTCAACTTTCCATTAACAATAACATTAAATTGATCATCAACAGCCTCATTTCATCGTTCTGTGACATGGAATCCATCTGTGAACAACCCTAATTAAAAACGCGTAGTTAATCGCTTCGCTGGCGTCTTGAGGGGTACCTGAAGGGTCTACGCCTCACAGTCTATTCTTTGGAGATTAGGAAGCATCTCTGACAAGTAAATTTTATCAAGCCTTGAGAGAGGCTTGAAACCCGCCCAGCCGCGGTGCCGATCGAGGAGCAGGGATCACGGCGTGTTGGTGAGTTAGGACTACACCCAGAGGTAATTCGCAGGGAGGGTTCCAACCACTTCATTCCGCAGAAAGGTTGTATCTGGTTCGGACACCGAAAGTAGATTTCCGAAGTACGGGGTTTACTTCTTAGAGAGCGCCTATATAAGGTGTAATTCGTACGTATCCATTGATTTACCAAGTTTCCGGCACCACCAGCCTTCCAATCGCCTTGATTCAAGCAGGGTCCATACGTAGCGACAAAGTAGATGTGGGCGATAACAAGAGTAGCAATTATCTTCCATCTATTATACCGGGTCTACAAGATGTCAAGAAGTTTTCTTGATTGGTAAGAGTCAAGAGTGGAGATCAGCTGTCGTCAGAAACCCCAGATCATCTATTTGAAAAAAAGCCCCTTCCGATCGGAAAGGCATAGACACTCTCCTCTCCTCGAACAGCTGTTTGTTGCATAGATACGGAGCCATGGAGGCAGACGAGCCAGCCACCCGGGCTAGTACAGTGCAGCACGATCCATCCCAGCCCAGCTAATCGGCAAACCCACTCAACAAACCCCCAATGACGGCCCCGACGGGCACAAACATCCAGTGATTCCACTCCCCGCCACCGATCTGCCGACGACTGATGAAGCCGTCCGTCACAGCGACAAGCGTGCTGGTCCACACCATGACGGCCAGGGCCTTGCGGCTGCCAAAGTACGATGTCGCGATCAGCGAGGTGCCCAACGCGACGGTGCGCGCGCCCTCGAGCATCATGACGCTCTCGACCAGGTGGCCCTCGGGTGTCTCTTCGATCGTGCTGGCCCGCGCCCCCGGGTGCGGGAACTGGAACAGCGCAATCGCCCCGCGCGGGTTGAACAACGCGTTGATCCCCAGTCCGACGGCCATGACGCCGAAGCCGCCTATGATTCTGGGCAGGTAAGGAGACTGTGAGATGGGCATGGTTTTCAATGTCCTCGTTGAAAGTGTGTTGGCGTCTAGGGAAGTCTGGGTTTTGTGGTGGTCGTTGTCGTTGTGGTTTTAGTTGTGGATATTTCAAACTGGGGCTTTTCAAGGGGGAGAAACTTGACTCTGTAGGTACAGCAGTGGTGAGGAGACTGATTACCAGGTGCGGATGATGGTTAATCGATGGCGTTTCAAGATAAAAAGTCCTCTCTCGTTATGTACGCTTGCTGGTTGTGAATGTTAAAAGTTGTAAAACCGGGAAATCTCGCGTCAGAGTCCGATGCGTCAGCTACCACAAGTTTGAGCCTTAGCGATACTAGGTATAGCAATGACGACTGGGTGTGAGCACTGAGCAGGGAGCAATTCTCCTTTTTGGATAAAGTCCCGAGTACGAGGTGCACGAGGTGTCAATATGGTATAGAACACGAGGTGAGGAGCGGTACTAGTGGCTAGGTGGTGGCATTTTAGTACAAGAGCTTTGGCAGCTACATGAGAATACAGTAAGTATACCGACACTCAAGGCTTGGCATTCTTGTGCTGGGTTAGCACGTGACCTGCCGTCTTTAGCATCAGTGGCACCGTCTGATTGGCTTGATCAGCGCCATCTACCGAGTACAGGTACAAGTAACAACAGAACAAGCAGCACCTCAGTCTCCAGATACTTGAAACCCATCTTGGACCATCAGCAGAAGCCACGTCCGTGGCACAGGTCGAGTCGAAAGTGAGTTGAAAGGTGACTTTGAACGTGCCATCAACAACCATGCATGAGTGAAGAATGCCTCAAAAAAGTCTGACAACGACAGGTTCCCTGACTTGAAGACTTCGTGTCAACAAAAAGGCCATATAACCAGCTTTTTGGAGGAGCGGCGGGAAATATCTTGGCTCTATGGCTCTTCGCTGTGGACAGCCATTCTGGAGGATTGGCCCATCCCATATCACTGACTACACGAGACATTGCCACCAGTGATCCAGTGACGTGGTCAAATCGCCTTTCTCCAGACAACTGGGAGGCATCGCAAGGATTTACAAGCGTCTTCCTGCACAGTAATTCGACTCTAGTGAGCGGCGAGCTGGGAGGTCTTCTACGCGTGAGCAGATTCAAAGGCCTACAAACACAGACAGGCCTGTGTTGATAACGGCCAACAGCCAATCCTGGATGGACATATCCTCCTTCTGCTCCGAGATGGCGCCATCTCCGAATCCGCGCCGCTGTGGTCTGAGCTTAGCGAGAACGTGGTCGGACCAGTCTACCCACTCGCGCCAGCTGTTGGTCAAGATCTGCCATCTGACATGAGCACCCGCTGCATTGGTGCACTGACTTACACCACAGATGCATGGTACAAACAGAGACGACCCGCCCCAGATCGCTGGACTACGCATGATTTGCAGCGTGCCATTGCTTTGGTCTTTGTGGGTCCTCGCTGAATCGGCCAGGGAGCCAATACTGGTCCCCCAGCTCACATTGGATACGCCTTGTCGATGGAGCTATCAACACAACCCATGGCGATGCAGCCTTCTTCTGTTGATGCCCAAATCTCAAGCTTACGAGAAATGCACCTCTCTTCGGTATAGGGGCTGGCAATCCTCGAACTCGAACGTGTGGAGACAACGGATAAGTTCCCGAAGACGGCGCGCATCGCGCTTGCCTGTATCCCCCTTGCCCTCGCCATTCCATTATTACATCCTGCAGGTCATTTTAGACCCAGAAATCTAGTTGCAAGACATCTGCAAGCTCTCTATCGATTCGGGAGAAGGACAGACTTCGGCGTCATCACCTCCCATCCGGCCTCCCACTGGAGTGGATCCGTGAGCTTTCCGGCCCCTTGCAGGATGGTGTGCAGCTCGCTTGTATTTGCATTCCTTATGTGAAGTCCGTTAGTGGTCTTCCATGAAACACTTTCATGCAGCGGCCGTGCGACGCTAGAGTTCGTTTACGATGTCCAGTCCTAATGACAGGATGCTTGTTCCGCATAGCCTTACATGTTCAAACGCAAATGCTAGATTACAAGGGTAATTCGACTCCGACACCATTCTCCCCGTTCTCCCGTTGTCCTACACCCTCGCCCGTTTTTGAGCCTTATACAAGACTCCATGATCCAACGCACAACTAAGATGCCACCACCCAACCAAGCCCAATATCGAAAATCAATTAACATACCCGCTCCTCAGCAGTCGTTTCAGCTCCTCGTTTTCTTGCTGGAGTTTGGCGAGGCATCTGCGCAGACGCTCCTGTTCCATCCTGTCCTGGTCGCAGCGCTGTAACAGGGCGTTGAGATCATCAATCAGCTTTTTGACTTGTGCTTCGCGGCGAGCACGGTAAGCTCTTTGTCTGGACACGGGTCAGCACAATTCTGAAGAGGTTGGCCTTCTAACGACAGCCGAGTTGGGCAGTTCGACTCACGCTTTCCGATTCTGTGACTTGCGCTTCTCGATGGCTTCCTGGGATCGTGATTTCGCGCCATATAGGGAAGACACGTCAAACTCCACTGGAGGACTCTGGTTCGGTTGGCTGTACGAAGCTGTTGAGCCGTATGTGGTGCTCCAGGCTGTAGAGTCACACCCGCTGGGACTCGAAACTTGATTGCCGTGAGATGTGGAGGTCGTCATGTCCTAGATGCATACAATTAGCCACGAACTTGCTGGCTTGGGAGTCATTCGTACCAGGTATTCGGGCATTGAGTCGTCGTCCCAAAAGAGTTGCTCTTCTCTGTAAGCATGCATGTCGCCAAGGGGAGGACTTTTCGACCAAGTCGTGCTTGGTGTGCTTGTTGACGGAGACGATGTGGCGTGATTCGAAGCATGCCCAGTCCACACCACTGGGCTCGTGGAACCTTGCTGATAGAGCCTTCCATTG